AGAAAACCCCAGAGACCAGTGAAAGGCCTCAGGGAGTAAAGGCAGTGGCGGCCAAGTCTGATCTGAGTTCGATCACCAGGACCTACATGGTAGGAGAGAATCAACATCTTTTGGCCCCTCGCCCCCACCCACAGACACAGACAGAGACAAGCAGACACACACACACACACACACACACACACACACACACACACACACACGATGACAACGACGATCTTTTTTCTTGAAGAATAAAACCATGAGGTCCAAGAGATGACTCAACATGTGAAGGTGCTTGCTCCATAGACCTGATCCTTTTAGTTCAGTCCCTGGAACTGACCCAAAGATGGGAAGAGAAAATTGACTTCTTAAAGGTGTCCTCCGACAGCTGTAGATGTGTGCACACATGCACAGACAAACATAGCAACCAGGTGAGAGGCAATGGTTCCCTCTCTTAAGGGAAAAAGCTGTGATTTTTTTTTTTTTCTAGAGAAAGTTTCTTGGGCTGAGCATGGTGGCTCACACCTTCGATCCTAGCACCCAGGAGGCAAAGGTAAGCAGATCTCCGTGAGTTTGAGGCTGGCCTGGTCTACAGAGAGATTTCCAGGGCACCCAGGGCTACACGGAGAAACCCTGTCTTGAAAAAACAAACAGACAAACAAAAAAAAAAAAAAAACAAAAAAACAAACAAAAAAAAAAGAAGAACAAGAAGAAAGGAAGGTCAGTGGAACCATGGAAGTAGCTTGAACTGAATTTTACAGTTCCCAGGACCGCCACATGAGGGAAATGGTGAGCAGAGCCCTGGTGGACTCTGGCTCAGCCATTGTCACCTGCTGAGGACCCAGATGGCAGAGCTGGGGTTTCCGGGGCTTCCCAGTCCTAGAACAGGTGGGCGCTGGCCAGGATGCCTTAGGAAGAGTCTCCGTGATGTGCTACGCCTGGTCTGGATTCTCACAGGCCCTCCTTGTGTGTTCCCCCTAGATTTGGGAGAGGAGACAGCAGGGCAGAGGAGCAGACTGGAGGGCATTGTCTCTTCTGGTTTGTGATTTATCTTTCAAACTTGATATCATGGTCACTTCTCTGGTAGGGAAGAATATCGAACGTCCCAGTGTTTTCTGTTACGGAGTCTCAGCAGAAAAAGTCTTTGGTCTCCAGATGGTCAACACGGTCTCTCACGCCTTTCTTCAGGTGTATCATCTGCTGCTACTATTTAAACATATGCTTAAATGCGGAGTTTATTTGCCTGTCTGTGCAAGACGTGGCTTTCTTCTGTTTCCCCAGATGACTATCCAGGCCTTCCACCCATTTGATGAAAGGCCTATTTTTTTTTTTCTCTATTTCCCATCTTTGTTTTTTTGAGACAGGTAGCTCAGGCTACCCTCCAACTCTTGATCCTTTCCTCTCGGCCTCTCAAGTACTGGGATTACAGGCCTCACCCACCATGCCCAGCACACACCCCGAACCCCCCTAGTTTATCTGAAGCACTGTCTTCATGGAATTCTCCAGTGTGACTGGGCCTATTCCTTTCATTTAGTTATTGTACAAATTTATGTAGAGAGTCATAATTCAGTACATGTAAACAGTGTGCAATGATCAAATCAGGGTGGTTAACATTTCCCTCTCCATTAAACATTAAAAACATTTTGTTAACAGACACTAATTGTATTTATTTATGTTGGACAGTGTGCTAGCTCAGCACATGAGGACAATGTGTCCTGAGCAAGTCAAAGTAATTAACATTTCCATCTTCTTATCATTACTTCGTGTTTGGAGACCTCGTTTCTCTCTTCTAGGGGTTCATAAAGTACATAATTTCTTTGTGAATTGTGGTCATCAGTGGGCCTAGTTCTGGGCCCCATTTTGCTCTAGGGATGTCTAGTCCTGAATTCCTGCCATACTGTGTCAGCAACATGGACTTTATAACATTTTTAAACTTAATTTTTTTTTTTTTTTTTTTTGTTTTTCGAGACATGGTTTCTCTT